GTGCGTGCGTGCGTGCGTGCGTGCGTGCGTGCGTGCGTGCGTGCGTGCGTGCGTGCGTGCGTGCGTTCGTGCGTGCGTGCGTGCGTGCGTGCGTGCGTGCGTGCGTGCGTGCGTGCGTGCGTGCGTGCGTGCGTGCGTGCGTGCGTGCGTGCGTGCGTGCGTGCGTGCGTGCGTGCGTGCGTGCGTGCGTGCGTGCGTGCGTGCGTGCGTGCGGGCGTGCGTGCGTGCGTGCGTGCGTGCGTGCGTGCGTGCGTGCGTGCGTGCGTGCGTGCGTGCGTGCGTGCGTGCGTGCGTGCGTGCGTGCGTGCGTGCGTGCGTGCGCGTGCGTGCGTGCGTGCGTGCGTGCGTGCGTGCGTGCGTGCGTGCGTGCGTGCGCGCGCGCGCGTGTGTGTGTGTGTGTTTTGCCATGTTCCCCGCCCCCCCCCCAGTGGAGACGGAGAGCCAATCGAGGCCTTCGAGTTGGGTTGGGGTGGTGTGGTGGGCAGAGACACTGGGCGCTTGCAGGAGCGCCGCGTGCTCCGCGCGGGCCAAGGCAAGTTTCCGCCTGAGCCATCGGATCAGCGCGTCGGCAGATGCCTTAGCACCAGCAGCGCCGCGAAGGTGCCTTCGCCCCCCACCGTCTCCAGTCGCGACAAGATGCTGGTGCCGGCAGCGTCCGGCGCCATCGTGGGTCCCGCGCGCCGAAAGCGGGCGCAACACCTGGCCTTGAGCCAACATGGCTACAAAGGAAAAAACGGGGCGAGGACCTTGGGATCAAGCATGACGAGGAGGAGCATCAGGGAGATCGAGGAGGATCGAGGCTATCAGAAGAGAATCAGCAAGGACAAAGGGGTCGAGAAGGAAGCAAACATTCTCCTACAACGGTTGCCAGAATATCAACCTGAGAACACGCCTGTGGGCCGCCCCTGAGCGCGTCGTCAAAGACGCGCTGATTCCTTGTGTGGCCCCCCGCCTTAGACACCAGTCGCATTCAGTTCAACCGAGAAAGCAGCATACCGAAAGCTGGCAAGCATCGATGCCTTAGCATGTTGAAATATTGAAACGTAAGCACTGGTTGCGTCATCTCAGATATAAGCAAGCAAGAGTACGCGTGTTCGCTCGCAAGCGGCCACGAGCACGCCGAACGAGGGCTAGCCTCGCCGGTTTCTGGCAGCCGTCACCAAGAGATCGGCATATGCTCATTGATTTTCCAAGCCCCTTCGTTCGGTGTCCGCGTCTTCTTGGTAGCCCGCGCAGAAAGAAGGGCTCGAGACAACACCGCTATCATTGCGAAAGGCCAGGGATGTCCTCCTAGCGGTGGGCCCCCCTAGCGGTGGGCCCCCCCCCCTGGTCTGCGGCGGTCGGCTCGTGGCAGATCCAACCTCCAGCTCGAAGGGGCACCAGAGATCCGATGCCGCTTTTCCGTACAGGGCTCCTCCCCGAGGCCAACTCTTCATTCTGAGGCGTCTGTTGACAACTCCGGGGCCCACCGAAGACCCCCAGAAGCCGAACATTGCGAAATACACATGTCTCGTTCGTGACTGCAAAAAAGTTCTGCAGCATCACGGCTTTCCTCGCTGGACGCGGACCAAGCATGAAACAAAGTAAGTGATGGCAAGACCGACTCTAGCGGCAGATCCTAAAACCAAATATGTAAGAAACATTCCGCATTGTTGACACAAGAGACGAGGGTGGAGAAGATTACACGTTCGTGCAATCATGTGGGCTGAGCACATACCGCCAAATAGGAAATGCAAAGGCCAATTCGCCCTCCTGGCCAAGTTCTGTCAGAACTCAGTCGGGCCATCTGATCAAATCGGCTTGTGCGTCGGATCGGGCTGGATCGGCACAATATTAAACAACAAATCAAAACTGACGCGCCACCATGCACAACAATTTGCCCTCAAACATCGGGGCACATCAGACAGTCCGAACACCATGATCGCTCCGCATCGGGCCGACCAGACTCGGCATCGAACGGACCGAACGGATCGGAACGACCCCTGGCTGGTGGTAGTGTCGCCTCTATAGGCAGCCTCATGGGAGCCCAACAGAAGAGTTGGAGGAATGAAGGACGTCTACAGCCAAGGAAAGAAGAAGGAAGGAATTAAGAACAGATGAGTGAAGAACGTCTACCCCTACCCCTACCTCATAGGAGCCCTTACAGGATGTGAACGAATTGAGGAACGTCTACAGCCGAGTGAACCCCAGCGGGGGCGTCCGATGCCGCAGCGACGATTGGCCGCGTAGGGATCAGAAGAAGAAGCAACTGCATGATCAGAATCTTTCCTTCTGGGATCGGCGCACCAGGGGGTCTCCAGCGCAGATCCAAGAGCCCGGCACAGAGTTCCGAGAGTGTATGCTCATGCGGCCGAGGCAGCTAGGCTCGCGCTTCGCCTTCCCCGAACGAAGTGAACCCCACCCTCCTCCTCAGAAATCGTGGGGGGTAGGGGTAGGGTTCGCATGTGGCCCCCTATCATGGGGGCCCTTTCTTCGAGGAGTCGTTCTCGCAAGAAGTCGCAGTCCCCCCTCCCTCGAAGAGTTTGGCGGCAACTCATGGGGGCCATCCGTGCAATACTGCTGGCTCTTGCGGATCGACGCTACTCGACGCTCAACGACGCTGAATCTACGCAACATCGGCGCGAATCTACGCTAGATCGCTCATCGATAACCAGACGCCAATCGAAGCCAATGGACGCTACAAAAAAAACTAAGAGGGCATGCAAACCTCCAAAGGCATGCTGATGGAATACAGCTGTCTCATGTTCTTTGGGGGGCAGACGCAATACAGTCTGGCTGCCGAAAAAAAGAAACGCTGCATCAGGAACCGAGCCCCATCTTGGCACCAGAAGAGCCCGGGTGCGCGAACAGGGCTAGGGGAACAGCCACGCAAGGACCTCAGGCACATCGAGCCCCTTCCGAACCCAAGTTGTCCCTCCTGTCAGCGTCTCTGCTGTCTGAACGACACGTCGCCGTGGGAAGCCCGTCAGCGTGCTCCTGCCGAACCGGCCCTGCTGCCCTCGACAAGGCCTGGCCCTGGGCAAGGTACAGCTTCGACACCGTCCGGAACGCCGCCGCCCTCTCGGCGTCGCCCTCTGCGCCCAGCGCCTCTCGGGCGGCGACCAGCGCTGGCGGGGGCGACAAGGGACGACGAAAAGAAGGGAGAGAGCGAGAGGGAGAGAGACTGAGAGAGACTGGGAGAAGAGGGGGAGAGAGAAATAGAGAGAGAGAGAGAAAGAGAGGGAAAAAGGGAGAGGCACAGGGAGAGGCTGGAAGAGACTGGGAGAGAGAGGGGGAGGGAGGGAGAGAGAGAGAGAGAGAGAAAAGGAGGGAGAGAGCAAGCTGGATGCGCTCGCGCTATATCTGACATTATACTTCTCACCTGCCTCCGACCCCTTCCCATTGCGCTGATTATTTCTCTATGCGCTGGCGCGTGTCATGCGTGCTACTCAAAGGCCTGGATTTCACAAAAGACGTTCATCGTGCTATGCGCTGTCGGGAAAAACTTGTGGGACCTGTACGACATATTTTTATGCTTTTACATATGCACATTCAATATACTCCGAGAGAGAGAGAGGGAGAGAGGAACAAGAAACACAAAAAAAACGAAAGGGAAAAAACATTTAACCACACATGTTAGTACGACGGGGAATGTACCGCCAACTTCGGCCTCTGGGGGCCCTCGCCGGCTCCAGGACCCTAAACGAGAACGACCCAGAGTGACGCGCTGGTCCTGGGGAAGGGGTCCAGACCCCTGGGGGCCCCATACCTGGCGGCGCGCACAGGGGGGTGGAGCGAGGGGGGACAACTTCTTAGAAGGAGGCTGCTTCTTAGGCGCCGGCCTTACATCCTAGGTAAGGCCCGAGCCTCCTAAGAAGCAGGGGTGGCTCTCAGAAGCCCTCCCCCCTCCCCCCACCCCCCTCTGCGCGTGGCTGACATGTGCTGCAGCATCCGGACGTCGGTGGTCTGGGTACACGCCCACACCGATCCCGGATGAGCCCATCCTGGGCCCAAGATCGGTGCATGCGCCCTCCTGGCACGAACAGGGCGGCATACACACAGATACGCAGAAGGCATCTATACACCACCTCCGTGCCAGGCCAGGACCATCCTGGGCCCTAGGATGGTGTATACGCCCTCCAGGTCGAGCCAGGAGGGTCTATACACCATCCTACGGCCCAGGATGGCCCTGGTCTGGCACGGTGGTGGTGTATAGATGCCTTCGTCGGAACAGAACCTGGGCCCCGGACGGCCCTGATGAGGATCGCCCAGGACGAAGGACGGCCACGACAACGCTGGCGGGGGCGGCGGCGCGGCGACAGCGGTGGCCACGACGGCGGAGACGCTCCCCCTCGCTGCCGCCGCAGAAGGCTGCGCGCCACCGATCTCTCCGCCCTGCCCCTCGCGGGCGACTCCTCGCCCCCAATCGGCGGCGCGCTGAGAGAGGATGCGAGAGGTGGCCGGGCCATCGCTCGGGCGTCCATTCCCTGTGTGTTTTTCGGTTTCGTGCGTGGCTTTTTCGCCACATGATCAAGGATGCTCCTCGATGGTCCTCGCCGAAAGAAAAATGCACAACGTCCGAGCGATGCCAAGTGGCAGGCCGCCTGCTCAGAAGGCGGATCCAAGAAGACCGCAGGGGGCTCTGAACGTAAATGGGTGGGTTCAATGTGTTGCTCGTCCTCGGCGACGCAACAGCATGGGAACTCTGGGTCCTGCGCGGTGGCTTGCGCAGGTAGCCGATGCTGCGCATCACGTGGAGGAGGCGACACCCGCGCGCGACCCGTAGGCGAGAAGCATCCCAGAGATCCAGCGCCATGATGTTTTTGCAATCGAGCGCGCGTGTACGTAGATCCTGGCACGTTGTCTTGCATGGCGCGGCATGCAGTCCCCCAGCAACGGACCGAGAAGGCGTGCACGTGAGTCACGGCGGCATGCGTGAAGGCCAGGATTACAGCCGAGCCTCGCCACGCACCCTCGTCCGTGCAAGTGACCTTGCCGGACATCAAAGAGGAACTGCCTCGCACGGCGGGGCTCCTCGACCCCTGCCCAGGGTCAACTCTTCTCGCACCTGGAGGTATAAGGGAATTTGACTGCAGTCTTCCGTTTCAGCTGCGCCAGCACAGAACGCGCAGAATGACGAATTCCACTTCGTGGAATAATCGCCCTCTCGCAGTTGTTACTCCAGATTTCGTAATAAAGGGAGGGGGGTCTCATTTCGGGGGGGGTCTCTTCCAGGCGATCTTGGAGGGCCTGGGGGGGTCCGGGGACGGTGTTTTGGAGGGTTCTCCCACGGGGGGGTGTCTGAAGTGGCTTGTCTTGGAGGGTCCAGACCCCCTCCCTTTTATTACGAAGTCTGGAGTAATCGCTTTCTCGCAATTGTCAGCGACTCATCCGAAGAGGTGCCCATCGCGCACTCTGCCGCCCACGCGTCCTGCCAGACGGCGTGGCTCCAGTGGCGGAGGGCGGCCACCAGAGGAACCGCAAGTTGCAGAACATTCTCCCTACAGGGGAAGACTCTGAAGGGGTGGCGCTCACGCGCGAAGCATAGGCTCGCTATCGTCGTCGTCGTCGTCGCCGCCGCCGCCGCCGTCGTCGTCGTCGTCGTCATCGTCGTCGTCGCAACCGTCGTCGTCGTCGTCGTCGTTACCGTCGTAGTGGTCGTTGTCGTCAGCGTCGTCGTCAGCATCGTCGTCGTCACGACCGTCATCGTCGTCGGTCGTCCTCAACGATGTCGTCGCCGTCGTCGTCGCCGCTGTCGTCGTCATCGTCGTTGTCGTCACCATCGTCGTCGTCGTTCGTGTTCAACGCCGTCATCTTCAACGCCTTCGTCGCTGTCGTCGACGCCGTTGTCGACGAGCAGCGCCGCCGCCGTCATCGTCAGAGTCGCCGCCGCGCGCCTCCGACTCGGCCAACTCCTGGGGAAACAGAGAAGCACCCGTATCCCATACCGCTACCCCACGGCCCTCCCCCAGGGTTCGTCCTGACCAGGGCTCGTCCTGACCAGGACTTCGAAGCGACTCCAGCGGTGGCGACGAGGGCCTCCCAGGCGCCCCCACAAGGCGAAGAAGAGGGCAGGGGTAGCGGCATGGGTACCGTAACTAGAGACCTCCTCGATGGGGTCGGAGCAGATTGGGTCGGAGGATCGCGCAACATCGCCGATACATCGGCGATGCATCGGCGATGCATCGGCGATGCTCCGGCGATGCATCGTCGACGTCGGCGACGCATCGGCGACGTCGACGTGAAGCAGCTCGGGCTGCACATCGAGCCGTATCGACGATGCATCGACGATGCGGCGCGATCCTCCGACCCCATCTACTCCAACCCCATCTAGGAGGCCTGGATTAACCTTCTCCGAAAGGTGTAGTTTGCAAAGGGTATTGAGCATCGTTTATCCGACCCCCATCCCCAGCGGCGTGGCCTGGGCCCCACTGGCTGGTTTAGCCCCCTAGAAGGGGATGTAGGCCGTCTCCTTCGGGTTTCGAGGGGGTATCCCCAACTGCGGTGGTAATTTGATGGGGGTCTCGAAGGGGATGAGGATGGGGATGGGGGTCGGTTAAACGATACTGAGCTATGGTTGACAACCGGCACTCTGGGGGACACCCTGGGGGGCGGGCGGTGACATCGGCAGAGCTCTCCGCCGCGCCCCGAGGAGGCCCGCCGAGGACGGCGTCGTACCCCCAGGCCTCAACTCCGGGACGAGGATGGGGGCGCATAGCCCGGGGGGGGCCGTACCCATCGGTCGGGAGAAGTATCACTGCACCGACCTTTCAGACGTGCTGCGGCGGATTTTTGCGTGAATCTCCGCCGATGGAAAACCCCGAAACTGCGAGTGAAAAACGACATGAATTTCGTGTAGATATTTTCGAGTCTTCTTTACTGGCCAAAAAAATCCGCGCAAAATTCACCTCGAAATCCGGAACGAAATTCTCCAGGAAACTCCGGGCCCATCCTATCGTTATCCGAACGAAAACCGCTCTGCGATGTTGGCGCCATGAGAAGTAGGTAGAAACACGAAGCAGGAAGACGTTAGCAGCAGATTGGGTGTTCGCCCGCCCCCTGAGGAGTTCGGAGAAGGTGAGGCCACTCGATAATTGAAGTATAGGAAGGCGCTGAAAGTAGATTGTTACTTGGGAATCCAAAAATACCTACTTTCAACGACCGACGGGAAAAATTGCACCCAAGAAAGCTCCAAGACGGCCCAAAAGACCCCCCGACGGCCAAAGAAACCGCCAAGACGGCCCAAGAGGCCCCATGACCGGCCAAAGAAGCCTCCAAGCCGGCCCCAACATGGACCCAAGAAGGGAAGCCCGAATCGAACATTCTAGCCGTCCGCCCCGAGAAGCCTCCAAACACCGAAGAGCACCATGAAAACCTCGAACTCAGACAAGGGGTCGGCGGATGTGGCGCAAGCCGGTAGAAAACTGTACATGAATACCTACTTTCAACGACCGATGGGTACTCCAGATTTCGTAATAAAGGGAGGGGGGTCTCATTTCGGGGGGGGTCTCTTCCAGGCGATCTTGGAAGGCCTGGGGGGATCTGGGGACGATGTTTTGGAGGGTTCTCCCACGGGGGGGGGTCTGAAATGGCTTGTCTTGGAGGGTCCAGACCCCTCCCATTTATTACGAAATCTGGAGTACATGAATACCTACTTTCAACGACCGATGGGTACATGTACCCGTTGACGTCGACGGTCCGTGTCTTCGGCGAGGCCAGCAGTGCCCAGCCCTGGGCTGCTCGGCCCTGTCGTCGCCTCCCACCAGCGGCACCGCTGGCACCGGGCGGGGTTCCAGCTGCAGGACGGGGTGCAGTACTCCAGATCTCGTAATAAAAGGGAGGGGGTCTGGACCCTCCAAGACAAGCCATTTCAGACCTCCCCCGTGGGAGAACCCTCCAAAACATCGTCCCCAGACCCCTCCAGGCCCTCCAAGATCGCCTGGAAGAGACCCCCCCCCAAATGAGACCCCCCTCCCTTTATTACGAAATCTGGAGTAGATGTGGTGCAACAGGTTTGTTGGGTTGCAGTAGACTTGGGGCGTGCAATGCATTCTGAGGCTCAGATGTCTTGCTGGCTCTCTGCGTGTGACGCAGCAGTTGCAGCGCAGAG